CTATAAAAAGAAGATGAATAAATTTGATCTTGAGCTTATATTTAGATCTTTCCTTATCAGAATAGCTTAGAAATAAGCTCGAAAATAGAGTCCGACCGATTAATCGGCATCGGCTAGTATCGACCAAAAGAATCGGCATCGGCATGGGCATCGGCATGGGCATCGGCCGTTTTTGGCCGATTCTTAGCCGATTATTTTTACTTTCTCCGCACTTCATTCTATGTTATTTGCTTTTTTAATTTCTTTAAAGTACAAAATATTAATGCATCTGAGTGTCGTTGCTATGATGTACGGTGGCGAGAATGTAAGTAGGGAAGACACATTTTAGCAAGTTTGGCTATTTTTCTTTGTTTATTTGTGTTTTCGAACGACGAATTTTAACAAATGTTCATCGAAATTTGAAACTGTTTATCAGACTTTCTAGTTTTTTTTTTTAGTACACAGTTTTTTAAATTTTAGTACAATAAAGAGCAAGCTGAAGTATCTATGACATGCCGTTGATTTTTTTTGTTCACGTATTTTCTTCCAAAGCACATTAGGTCAAATTATAACTTTTTCCGTGCGAAATTAATAGCAGCAATATTTGCATTATTTTAATGTAAAAAGATGGCAAACGTTAGAAATAGTGTAAAGGCAGTAAATAAAATGTGAAAACATTACTTGGCTTTCGTAAAACAGACTCTTCTGCTTTTTTGTATGTTCAAATGATGTGTATATGTGTTTAAGTAGTACTCAAAAACATTGTCCAATTAGCTTGGTTTTGACACAAGTTATTTTCTTAACATACTCAACCCCCTCCCCCTTAAAATGAGCTACAGACTAAAATAAGTATGGTCACATGTATATACATAAATGGGTTCTTCTGGAAATTCCTAAATTAAAAAACGAAAAATATTTACTACATTTCTTGCAGATATGCCTTGAGGAGAGATTTCTAAACCAGTTAGTCGTCATAAAACATTTTATTTTCACTTGAGGTTTCAGTATTCCCAAATTCTCCACCGATATTATTTATATTTAGAATGCAATTGCTGCTTTGTGACACATTTACCAAAAATCGCTGGTAACTTCCTGAAAATAATACGAATGTTTTTGAATGCTCTATTCACTTTGAGTAAAAAATTTCGAAATTTCAATCCGTAAATTCTCTCAAGAATTTGCCTTTTTGCGAAGGCTGCTCATCAATGGTCTTTGCGAATCGGCGCAAGTGCCTTTGTAACATAGCCATGGCTACGCTACAGGAGATGAAATGTAATCCAAATTGAGGCTGCTATTTTTTTACTATCACATACTTCCATTTTCACTATTTATCACCATTAAAATTGACTATTTATCACCATTAAAATTGACTATTTATCACCAAAAAATTTGTGCTGAGCTATTTTTAGCGAAAGA